ATAAACCATCCCCGGGTTGGGTTTTTTTTTTTAAAAGGGTTTGTACCCCCCCTTTTTTTTTTTCCCCTTTTTTCCAAAAGTTTTTTGCCTCCAGGGGGGCCGCCCCCCCCGGAATTTCCAAATTTTTTGGGCCCCCCTGGGGGGGTTTTTGAAATTTTCCTTTTTTTCCCAAAAACCCCTTCCCCCGCGTTTTTTTTTTTCCTTTTTAATTTTTTAAAACCTTTTCCCCGGGGGGGGTTTTTTCCGGCCCTTTGGGGTTTTTTTGAGATTGGGGTTTTAAAACCCCCCCCCCTTAAAAATTTTTGAAAACCCCCCCCCCCCCCCCCCTATGGCCTTTTGGAAAGGGGCGGGGGGTCAATGGTCAAATGATTTCGGCAACCAACAAATGGGTACCCCCCCCCCCCCCCCCCCTATGGCCAACTTTAGGACCTGGGACATAGGCTTTCGAGAACGTAGATGAAGATTTAGGGAGGTAGACGATGAAGACGATAAGTGCAAATAAATGCGATTGCGGCTCCGAGTGCGAAGACCGGGTTCATGTAGTTGCGGAATGTCGGTTGTACAAGAAGGAGAGGGAAGTGTACATGACTGAGCTCGGAAAAGCAGAAGGAAGCCACAGGGAGATGCTTGAGGCACGGAATAGCCAGGAAAATACGGCAGCTCTGCTGGGGCGTAGGGTGGGTTGATAAGGCGGGAAGTGATATCGATAGGAGAGATAGGCGAGGAAAAACGTTTTTGTGGCACCTTGGGCAAAGTAGGAAGGAACGATTGGCATTCGGTGATCGGTGCTCCTGTGGGAACAATGCTCCGTCCTCTCGAGGACGCGTGGTCAATGGTCTAACCGCTAAGGCATGCAAAACAAAGTGCGCTCCCCCTCCCAAACACTCATCAGGTCACACTCGCCCGCGCCAACCTGCCGCCCAGTCCATATTTCTCGTAAACCTGACCCCCCCCCTCTCAATCGAAACGCCGGAGTAAGCCCGCACTTCTCGACCATTCGGTCGAGTCCAGAAATAAGTACAACAATGCACGGCAACAACAACAGCATTGTACAAGGAGATCACCGTTATCGTAGCAAAATACTCACCTGACTTCCTAAACAACAGAGGAGGTCGTACCCCCTCTTAACTACCTACCAGACAACCCCGACGGCGCATGTCCCACCCACGTCCGAATTTTGCAGGAGAAAACAACGTACGCTGCCATCTTCCGGGGAAACAGCGGCGACAGTGAGTCTTACCTCCAAGTGGCGCAGCTCGACGGTTGGGACTTCACGGCGGAGTCGCTGACGGCTTCAGAATTGGACAAGATGAAAGGCTCCGAAGAGGAGACGCACCCGATTTATTCCGTGGACTCGCGGTCCACTAGTGCGGTGAGTGGCCGTCACTGCCCAGTGATAAAAAAAAAAAGACCACAGTGTTGATACGTTGCCCTACGACAGACACACGCGATTCGCATCAAGAAACGGAGCATTCACTGATGTCCCGTCGTCTACATCTGCTAGGCACCATCCATGCCGTGACCTATTGGGATCCGCATGTCCTCTTGAGATAGTATTGCTCCCAGGAACAACAGATGGATGTCTCGAACCGCTTGGTTACTCCTGCAGGGCTGTGATTCCAGCCCAGACCCCGCGGTTGGTGAATACATCGAGGAGATGCTGTCGCTGGCAGAGGGGTACGAATACATAGGGTGCTTCCACGACAAGTCACCGATGGACGAAAGGGATATGGCGCTAAGTTCGAAGCGGGAGTTCGCTCAGAACAAGCCTAGCATGTGCGCGGCCCGATGTGCCAAGGAGGACGGCGCCACCTTTTTCGGCCTTCAAAACGGTGGCTTGTGAGTGGCTCATGGGATGAGAAGGTTTTGAGGCAACATGGGTGGACTTGAGCGGGCGCTGATTGCAGCCATTTGCGTCATTCATCTGCAGCAGGAATGAGGGGGTTATAGTGGTCACTACGGGCCACACGCTCACGGCGCGCCCCTCTCCCACGACTTTTCCCTTCGTCCCCCCTTTTCAACACCCACAGCCCCCAAGAAGATTGATATATGGGCTTGTGGCAACCGTAAGCGGAGCTCCATCCTGCGTCTTCTTTTCGCGCTGGCACCGCTTTCATAGTTGTCCTGTGCTCGAAATCACACCCTAAAGTTCTTCCGTTACCCTAGCCCTTGGATCCAAACTCTAGTTGAGTCCGGAACCCTGAACTTGATCCGGCACCGCCATTGCACCGAAAAAGTTTATTCTGACACGCCGTCCCATATTCTCATCGGTTTGATGACGCACAATGAGCAACGCAGCTGTACTGGCGACCTGGGCTGTTTGTCTCACTCGCCAACGCAGATCGCGTACACAAGCTCTACAGTAACTGAACTTGTATGCTTCCGTCCCAATAGATGCTGGTGTGGCGGGATGGGTGACACAGGCCCCGGGTCGCACGGTGAGGCGGACACATGTGACAAGCCCTGCCCGGGCGAAAATGGCGTCGCGTGCGGCGGCAAGAAGTGAGTCTATGCCTACTGTAGTTAGAGTATAGTGTTCTGATACATTCACTCTCCCATGGCGTTGCGCGGCTGAAGTATGACACCGGCCCATCGCCCGTCCGTGTGGTCTCATTGCGCGTGATTGTATGGGTTGTTTCCGTGTGTGTTCGCCTCGTACTGCGGCGGGAAGCATCGCAAACGTTGATGGTAGTGGATACCACGCTGGAAACTGATCTTTGGGCCAAATTCCATACGTGAGCCGAGAGACCATTCTGACAATGGCCTACGTACTCGTGTCCATAGTTAAAATGGTTAATGAAACATATTAGATTTTCAACGGCCCTAGCGTAGAAGCAAGACCTATTCACTACTTCGAAAATCAAGTTGCGCCTTGGGGGTATCTGAGTTGTGGAGGCGCCACTGGATTCAACACACATCTTGGAACTAGCCCCGTTAAGTAGCACATGCCGTGTTAACAGTTGGGAACATGGCCTGTACGATGTACGTGCGAAAGGTTATGGTTATGAGGAATACTGACACGTCGAGAAAGAAACTTGGCCCTTGTGCGTGGGAAATAACTCGAACGTGAAATCCCCGACGGGGAAATACTAGCAAGTAGAGTAGTCTACACTGTAAATGGATTGAACGGTCAGGGAGCATCAGTCTCTATCTCTGCAAAGGGAAATTTCAGTAAAGAACGTGCGTTTCACCTGTCGGCAGGGTAAGCAGCGTATACGTCATCCCTGTGGAACACACGTACGTCGGCTGCTTCGAAGACAAGAAAGACGATCGGGATCTACTCCTCGTCCCCAAGGTATGAAGTACCCTGGCGTTGGTGAACTCCTGGTGCCGCAGTTACTGAAAAATATTTCTGGACGCAATTGTCTCTTTGCAGGCTCCAACTGTAGGTGACTTCTTGGAGATTCATAACCAGATTCCGGTAGGCATGCATGATTGGGCAGTGTGGCCCCTCTCTGGAGTTCATTTGCGTCTGGAAGCAAGCTGCAGACCCAAACGCCAAGAATGCCGTAGATTGTACTGAGTACCTCGATTGATTGGAGAATACGCTCCGTTGACGTATCTCACACGCGAGCAAGGCGGCACCACTGGTGAAGGTCACTTGAAGCGGTCAGAGGCACCCAACCAAGGAATGTTATGCTTCTTCGTCGCAATTGAAGCGTGCACGGTCATTGTTTTATAGGGACCTGGTGGCACACTCGTGCAGTAAATCCTCGCTGTCGCGCAGTGGACTGTCAAAGCCTCGTACAGTACCCCCCGGAAGAACACACAACTCTCGAGGGGGGATGTGTTCAAAATTATCGTTTTTGACGGGCAAAATGTAAAGAACATGACATAACCACGCCTCCTCTGAAAATGTACTACCACTTCTCGAAACGCCCATGACCGGCGGTACCGAACACCAAGAAGCAACGACACCAAGATCAACATCAACATCAACATCAAATAACAATCACCATCATCAACAACAACGCCCTTTGTCCGCACCACCACCAACAGGTGGTGTCTTCCTACCTCACGCCGGCGGCCTGCGCGGCCTACTGCTCCTCCGTCGAGGGGGCCACGTACATCGGGGTACAGTCCGGCCGCAAGTGTTTCTGCGGGGACTCGTTCGGAAAGCACGGACAGTCGACCCTGTGCAGCGAGCCCTGCTACGGCGACGAAGACCAGGTTTGCGGAGCGCATAACGTCAACAGCGTGTACACTCTTCTGCCTGAGGATGAGGTCGATCGAACCCCGTTGAACGCGGGCATCCAAGACCAGCAGGCAGTGTGCGGGGGGAAGCGCTGCGGCTGCTTCCTGAACGAGAGCCTGGGAGACTCCCTGTTGTCTGGCGGCAACGATATGGATAGGTGTGCATGGCCACGCACCGATAGAAGATGTACACCCTTCGTCCGCCTTTTTTTGAAGTCATTGAGTCTTCTTCCTCGGCTGCTTTGCCCGTACCGGGTGCATGCTGCCCAGTATAGCATGAGATACTGTATATATTTTGCATATGGTGAACGCATCGCTCCAAGCTGTTTGCGAGTGTTTCCGCACACTTGGCTTGGCGTTCGGCGGTGGTCCTCCAGCTGAGTATGGCTTTGGAAGGCAAGGTTTGTCTGCAGATACGGCCCAAATCTCCTTCTGCCGTCGCTCGTGCTAGCGACATATTTCAAAATCTACCCGCGCGTTTGAACTTTTTGTTCTTGGCGATATGGACCACGAAAGGCGTGCAAGCTTACGTCTCCCCCAGATGTCAGCACCACTGCTCCTGTACCTCTACAACCTCACACCGTGGCCCCACTCCCGCCTGCACTTTGATTTTCCTTTGACTCTGCCGCCGCAAAACATGTTTTCACGTTTCTCCCCAAAACACTCGCCACAAAACAGCGAGGCACTGTCCCGAACATCCTGCAAGGAAGCTTGCGAGAAAGGTGGCTTCCCGTTCTACGGCCTTGAGTGGTCAATCATCTGCTTCTGCGGCGGAAATAAGACCGCCAAGGCCAAGTTCATCGAGGGAATCGAGGCGTACCGGCTGGCCGACGATACCGGGGCGTGTGACATGCCTTGCCCGGGGAATGGGGAGGACACCTGCGGCGGGTACGGTGCGGTAGAAATTTGGGAGGTCTGATCGTCGATTTTTGCGTCAACGCACTTGAAGATCGGAGTGGACTACCAGGTACATCGGTTCCGGATGGGGTTTCGGGTCAAATCCTGGCACATTGGGTGTGGTGAAGGGATCCCTAAGCGGCGTTCTTCCACCGGCGTGCTACAAACCTCCAAGAAATCGGTGGAGAGGGTGATGCATGAGGTGAAGTTTTGTGACTTACCCCCCTTTGCCCTTGTAGCTGGATTCTTGGATAAGTCAAGGTAGCAAGATGCTGAAGCTCGACGCTGAAATATTGACGTTTTCTCGATTCAAGTCTTCTTGGTGAATTAGGTGTAGGACGCAGGGCGTCTTCTTGGTGAATTAGGTGTTGGACGCAGGGCGACCCCGGCGTCTGGCATGAACTACATGTATCAGTTGCCCGGCGGTATCGAGTGTCTGAGTGTAGACTACCACACACACAACGTATCGAAGTAGATTGGTAGAGCAAACAGCGGTCGCTATTCACCAAACCAAGCGACCGGTATTTGCGATTGTATTCGCGCTGTGTTACTGTAGGTGTATAAAAGGGGCAACATTCACGGTACACGTCAAGTATGGAGACTAATTATCCCCAAGGCTTCATGTTCACGAGAGAGTCACACCTCACGGCCTTATTTGAACACAACGAATTGATGAGAACTGTTGAGTCACGGTATGATGTACGTTGGAAAATTGTCGTGGTCACGTGGGGAATCGGAGGGAAGGATATCGTGTGCTCATCTCGTTTAACGCAAGTGCGACGATCAAGTGTCCCAGGTGTCACCAGGGCGTATGTAGTCTAGGCTTGAATACTGTTCCAGACGCACGGGAGGTCTCCCGTAATTCCGTACCACTGTACGCCTCCCTCAGGGATGTCGCACATTTCTTTGCTCTTGGACGGGTCTTTCCCCATTTCTTGTCGATCACGCAGGGTTTTCACTTCACCCCTCGTACATGGTGCATTGTATTGGGTGTATGATTCGGTCGAATGGGCAGACTGTAAATAATAGAAAGCGTTATGTTGGCTCTATTGTATGGGCTGGTACGGTTATGGAGTATGGGCTGGTAGGAATCTGTTGCATGTGAACGCCGCAACCTTCTCAAACCGGCAACAAGACGTTGGCATGGCGTGCATCTCGGTAGATTCGATTCCACGGGAACGCCTTGAACGAGGAGGACGGCCCAATAGTCGTCTTGGACTTGATGAAGTCGTCTTGTTTGACTGTTCGGTCGCAGATTATATCGAGCTTGCGCGCAACTCAAGAGGTTCGGTGTTGCCCTGCACCGTGCGAGACCTGTGCCCCAAGAAAATCTGTGTTGAGTGAGGTGTCCATCCCCGCCCAGGGTCTCGGGCTACTGTTGTTTGTGATCGTGCTTCATGCGTGTGACGTGTGCGACTCACACAACAACCGAAACAGAGACGCGTTCCAAAGGCGTACCTGAGTGAGGCCCAGTTGTAACCGTTGTTGTCAGCATGGTGCTGTGAGGAAGGGTCATGACGACACGACGTAATCTTAGAGTAGAAACTCGTTTGACTGCTTCGTTGTGTCATGGCAAACGTTGCCACGAGTCGGTCGAAACGACGGTGCGGGTGGCAGCCTCCAATAACAGCAGTACTGGTAGTGGCTTGGGCCGGGAGTTCGCGATTCGTCGAGGTGTATTTTTTTCCGAATTTCGTGCCTGTGGTAGAGTGGAAAGCGGTTGTTCGTGGGTAAGGACGCTGGGCCTTTCTCACGTCAACATGTGTACTGTAAGGTAAGCAAATTCTTCTGTAATTCCATGATATCCCGGGGCTATATTGCCATTGGAACTTGAATGAAGGTGATACTGATATCCGAGCAACACGGGGATATTTCGATATTTCCCCTGTGAGTAACAGGCTCAACAAGACGGTTTAGTTTGGTGGCCATCTTGTTATCGGGCTATCTTCTGTGCACTGGGAGGGTGTGTGACAGTGACACGTGTGCATTAAATGAATCGTTGTGTATGGGATGGGTGGGCATTGGGAATGCGGCGGAAATACTTCCACGGGGAAGGTGGCAGCCGTGTGCCACGAACGTTTCATCGACAGGCTAAATTGAATAGGTAGACACACAGTCATTCCAGCGTCGAAGTTGCTCAAGTTGTAGATTGGACGAGGCTTCAATTTGTGGCAGCCAGTCGTATTTGTGGCGCGAATGGATCGAGATCGGAGCTGTATATAGGTCAGGAGCAACTGCTGCTCGCTCGTGTTTCGTGCTTGAGACGGCCGATCACCGACACAGCCAATCGTTGACGCCAATCAAGCTCAAACTTGCTGATGGCGTCTAAAGTAGCGCAGGACGGCCGATGGGATGATTTATCACGCCTCGGGGGCCCGGTACAAAAAAAACGCGTGGTTCGGAGCTTCCGAGTGAACGACATCAGACAGATAGACACAGCTATTCTTCCCGTTCAGTGAGACCTCTGTTGACCGTGCCGGTCTCTTCGAGGAACTCTCTTTTTGCTCTTTGTCTCCACCTTTGTCGAAGAGAACTTGACCCTGATGGGGTGAGCCAAACGATTCCTTAAGGTCTTTTCGTCGACATACGCCGAGCAGCAATTGCACTCGCATGTGTTCCTCTGATTGTAGGCATCTGTCCACGATGCCGTTGCAGCAAATATGGCAAGCTGTCGCTGCTGCTGCTGCAATCGAATATCACCGAGACCTCATGCTTGGTGGGGTATCAAAGCTCATGACCCAACGTTGGAGTTTTGACAGGAGTTCAAGGTCTGGTTTGGACCACCATTTTCGCCTCAGCCTGCGACTTACTACGCGCAAACGTACCAAAGACAAATGTTTTTCTTCAAGGTTCAAGCTTGGTGTTGCTTCTAGGGCACCACCATATCTTCTTTTACAATCACGCGAAAATTGTGGGATGCACCGGTCACTTCCTATGATGGTATCTACTAGGGTATTGTGCACTATATGCACTATAAAAACATGTAGATCCCGAACTTTTCTCTGCCATCTTCAACTAATACATGGCGAAACAGTAGTTTTGTGTTCGTCAACGTCGCGTCCGCGCTGTCGAGTGATTCTTCCTCCAAGTGCCCGCCGCAATGTTTCAGATTGCTAGCGTCAGCGTGAATAGAAACCTTCGACGATGGACCCAGGTTGAAGAGAAAGGCAATCAGTCGTAGCGTAGGATCAACCATAGTAGTCGAATCGAATGCGTCACAATTGTTGATATAAATCTCAAGCACATGGGGCCTGCTCTTTCTACGAATCATTGCCGTTGGCGCCGTGCCTGAACACACGCACGCCCTGGGAGCAACATGTACCAACAAACCTCTTAGAAAGTTGAGCCCAAGCGATGTCTTTGCTAGGGTGTCTACGAACTACGAGCAGTCTCTTCGATTGGGGTCACTTTGGGGTCACGATTAAACCAAGGGCAAATCCGTCCCGTTCGTCTCTCTGTCTCTGCGGGTTGGTTGCTCGCCCGCCAGGTTGTCGCACATACCTTCGAGCAGCTGATGAATCCTAAAGGAAGGGCGATCTGGGGAAGTACGCGCGGTCGAAACGTCACCGCCCAACATAGTCGGGTCATGTACATTATTTGAACAAAATATGCGAATTCTCATGGGAAGAATGAGAGTTCTCATGCGACCCCATGGGACCTCATGGGACCTCATGAGAACTCGCGTGAGAAGACTCATGGGGTCGCATGAGAACTCTCATGGTGTCCCATAAGACCTCTCATGAGAACTCCTGAGACTTCTCATGAGAATTCTCATGAGGTCTCATAAGACTCGTATGAGACCCCACGAGAATTCTCATGAGAAGTCTCATAAGAACCCATGAGCTCTCATGAGCTCTCATGAGCTCTCATGAGCTCTCATGAGAGCTGATTTAGCTCTCATGGGCTCGCATGACCTCTCATGAGAGCTAATTTACCTCTCATGACCTCTCATGAGAGCTGATTTATCTCTCATGATCGCTAAATTAGCTCTGATGGGCTCCCATGACCTCTCATGACCTCTCATGACCTCTCATTAGCTCTCATGGGCTGTCATGACCTCTCATGAGAGCTAATTAAGATCTCATGAGAGCTAAGAGCTCATGAGAGCTCATGAGAGCCCATCAGAGCTGATTTAGCTCTCATGAGAGCTGATTAGCTCTCATGAGAGCACATGAGAGGTCATGACCTCTAATGGGCTCTCATGAGCTCTCATGAGAGCTAAAGGAGCTCTCATGGGCTCTCATGACCTCTCATGAGAACCAATTAGCTCTCATGAGAGCCCATGAGAGCTAAATTTGCTCTCATGAGAGGTCATGAGAGGTCATGAGAGGTCATGAGAGCCCATGAGAGCCCATGAGAGCTGATTTAGCTATCATGGGCTCTCATTAGCTCTCATGAGAGCTAATTCAGCTCTCATGGGCTCTCATGAGCTCTCATGACAGCTAACGAGCTCTCAGGAGATCTCATGGGCTCTCATGAGCTCTCATGAGCTCTCATGAGAAGTAATGGGAGCCCATGAGAGCTCGTGAGAAGCCATGGGAACGCATGCTATTCCTTGACACTCGAACAGAACCCATGATACTCCATGAGACTCCATGAGACTCAATTGGACTAGATGAGAAGCCATGAGAAGCAATGAGAAGCCAAGAAGGTCCATGATACCTAATAACTCCTCGTGAGAACAGCTGAGACCCGAAGCGTGGGATATATAGGCCACCCGACATGTCGTGCGATGCCACATGATCTTGGCGCTTTTGTGTACATGTAGCCAACGACTAGAGGTCATGTACAGGGAGCGTGATGGTACCATTCCCGATTTCAGTAAGACCCACACTCTTATGGCCGCGGTTTTGTACGCGGCAGGGATAAGACCTCTCTAGTGGGCCGTCGTGGCGCGTAACAGTACACCGTCAACATCCTGGCACCGACGACACCAAGCGTGGGATGCGACGATCCGCAATACCCCCCCAAGTGTGCTGTTGGTGTGGTGGAGACATGCGCATATTACATGTGGGCCCAAGT